GGAGCAGAGCTGGGCTGCTCAGTCCTGCTGAGGGCTCCCCCTGGGTCCTACTGCCCCTGGCTTCAGCTTTGACAGGCAGCCAGGAGCAAATAAATATTAATTTAGTAATTTTTTTAGGGGCCCCATGGGCCGGATAGAATGGCTTGGCAGGCTGGATCCAGTCTGCGGACTGTATTTTGCCCACCCTTGCTCTAGTTCCTTAGGAGTGTAAAGGCTTTGATACATGTTTACTTAGGATGTTAACTGCACTTAGAGCACCTATACATGAGACAGACCTGTACTCCGCACAATTAATCGAGCTTGCTGCGTGTGGAGAGTGCTAATTAGGATGCTCTAGCAGCCTCCACATCACATGTAGTCAACGTCCCCATGTTTCAAAATGATAGCGGGGGTGCTTTAACTAAAGCTTGTCGAATGAGCTTTAGTTAAAGCACCCCTTCTGCCATTTTGAAGTGTGGGACACTGAATACACATGACGCTGCTGGCGCTTTAATTAGCACAGCTCTCAGAGTCTCTCTAATTAAAATGCCTCTCCCCACCCCCCTTCACCCTGGAGCATGTGTATAGACGCTGTTAGAACCCATGTGTTCAAGCACGAAAACTCATGCTAAGTTGTAGTCAAGTTAGGACTTTTGGGCACAGAATATTTCCAGATCATGTTAAGTAATACATGTTATGCTATCATGGGACTGATAATACCTGCGGTCCTCACCAACCCCATGCACTGCCAGGGCTGGGACCAACAAGTTTGTCAGTGTCAGGGCTGGACCCAGGTCTCAACTCCCTGCACCAGAGTCAGTTCTAGACCCCAATGCCAGGACTGGGACTGACAAACAGTTGATCTAAATAAAATACAGCCTAGGTGTATCATGCAACAAGGCCTTTAGGCAGAGCAGCACCTAGTTTATGAGTCTAGGCTGAGGCAGGAGCTGGCCATCAAGGGTGCAGCTGCCAGCTGTAACTCAGAACAATTTTTTCAAAGCATTCTGAGTTACACTGTTACCCTGAACCAAACAGAAGTTCCCTGGTGGTTCCAGGGAGAGGGGAATCTAGCTGTGGGCTGGGAGCATGCAGCCAGGTTCTCATAGCAACAGCCAGGCTCTCTGCCAGTGCTCGCTGTTTTCAGAATAGGAGGGCAGGAAAGGCAGAGAAAGGAGCCAGTTCTTCAGGCTCCACAGCTGGTGCTGAAGGGTGGGGTGGGCAAATTGGAGCCCCGCTCTACCTCAGGGCAGGGGAGCTGCAATACATCCACACCCACCCTTGGTGGGGGGGGGTTGAAAATCCCCCAGACTGAACTCCCTCTGCTTTCTCTCTCTGAACTCCCTTTCCCACTCCCATTCTGAAAACAGCGACAGACTGGGAGCTCAGCAGACACAAATTACAAAGGACCTACATTTTGTAACATCTTTATCTGATACCTCATGCAATGAGGGGTCAAATTTTCACCCAGTTGACCAGTTTTGAAGCTGTTTGCAGCTACGTATTTGTGTTTGGTCACAGCTATAAACTGCTTTTTGTGACCAGATCAAGGGAAAATTGTCACTTCTGTCCGTACCCCAAATGTCTCAGACTAGGGCAGTGCTGAGCATGTGTGCAAGCAGAAATGGAGGTGCCTGCTGAGTTTAGGCAGGCATTCTTTGAATCTCAGTTTTGGATCTAAAATCTTTTTTGACCCCTCATAGTAACAACACAGCAATGATGCACCAGCATGAACTCTCACCAAAAAAAAAAAAAATACAAAGGACAGGGACACACACGAGTCAGTAGAAGCACATTGTTCATAGAACAACCACTCCCCATCTGACCTCGCTATCCTCATACTCAAGGGAAATCTACCAAACACATTTACAAGGCAAGCTTGGGAACAAAAATTTATAAAAAGGCTGGACACCAGGAATCAAGGACTGAACATCAATATTGATTTTATGACACACTACAATCTGCCTGATTTCTGAAATTCTTCCCACACACTACAGGTGATAATGGTCCTCCTCCCTTTTGAAAGGTCTTGATCTCCCAGTAGACAAGGTGCTTTTCTTCTACTAATTATTTTGTTGCTACCCCTGGGAATTTCTCCCCTCTCCAATTTCACAACTCTACCTACTGTTCTTAACAATTGCTGCGCTCGCCTTCCCATTCAGACCTGCAGCAGATTGCTTTGTCTAAATGCATCCTGACTATACAGTTTGCCTAATAAAATGTATCGCCCCCAAAAATCCTTGCCTCTAGCATAATTCCTGGACCATCATGGCTAGAGCATCACTCTTAACACTACCATTAGCATCTAAGTCCTTCTTTCTGGGTATTTGCCCTTGGCACATGGGAGGATACTTTTATGTAGAACATGCCCAATTCCAAGCCTTGTAACACTACAAAACATCAGGAGAAATGCCTCTGGTGGCCTGGCAGTTATGGAAGTGTCAAAGGAGAACGGCTAATCTGAGGCCAAGTATTCCTCATTATTATTTATATTCTTCGAGAGGTGCTTTATGAGAGGTACATGCTTTAACTCAGGTTTCGCTCTAGGATGATTCTGGATTTCTGCTCTGGTTCCTACTTTGATAAGAAAGGAGTAGAACAGAAGCACTGGCGCTGGCATGACTTCAGCCACCACGTTCATGCTCCTCCTTTCCAGCCCATCTCCATGAAACTCAATGTTTATATCAGCATTAAAGTTGTGGCTCAGGACCAAATTTATCTCTCATTTGCTAAAGACTTCAACAGCATCCATTTTAACATGGGGGCCAGCCTAAAGGTAAGTTCCCACAACCAGGCAGGCATCAGTGCTCCAGATCTGTCTCCTATTTACCACTTCACAGGACTAATTTCCAAAGAAAATGGTTTGACTGAGACGACATGTCTTCTTGGAGTCCTGTGAGTATCCTAAAAAAAATCTCTTCTGAGTACTTACTGCTTTATTTCACGTTTGCAATTGCTGTTCTATAGAAGTGTTCGGATGGAAGATGCTGTTGCACGTAAAACAAACCACCCTCTGGGGATTTCCTGTTTGACCATTTTCAATTTACAGGAAAAGCTTAAATATAGTTTTAAATAAACAAGGAAGTACAGGCACTGCAATGTTGTACTGTCACAAAGGCATTGTGCATTTCACGATGTTTTGCAATGGGACTGTAGGCCAGATCAGGAGGAGGATTCAGGTGCCTAAAATAGGACTTGGGCAAACTTTTGGCACCCGACTCCAAAACTGCAGTCCCCAAACCCCTGCTTAACTGCAGGCTAACTTTCGAGGCCTTTCAGCTGACCAGGCACCTCCCGTGTTGATCTAACAGTCCCCCAAGCACCCACAGGTCTGTCTTCTGCACATGCCCAGAATTGTCCTGGTTCAAGCAGCTGGACAACACACTGCCTATGGCCCCCGACAGATGTGAAGAAAAAAACCCAAAACCTAGCACTTTACCAGAAGAAGCATGTTAGTTTGACCTGGCTCCCCAGCGTCTAATTCAATTAGCTATTACATAAAAGCGCCAAAAAGCCCTGCTGAAGTGAGCAATCTATACAGACATTGGGCAGGCCAGGGCAGACTAATACAATTCCTCTTCTGGTTATGTGCTGTGCTCAGTGTGGGAGTGTACCAATCTTAAAGCACTGGTTTTCTTTCACATCTGTAAGCAGCCTGGGTGGCTTGCTCTGAGCCTGCCTAACACACACCACCTGCATTTGCTTCAGCACAGAATAGGGCAGCCATGGCTAACCTCTTTTAAGAGCACCACTGTAATGATGGTAGTGGCAGGGCCGAGAGCTAAGTGGTAAGAGCACTCTCCCAGGAAAAGGGAGCCTCAATTTCTAGAACCGCTTCAGGATGAAAGGATTCAAACCCACAGCTCCCACCTCTCAGAAACACTTTTGAACAACCAGCTATACAGTGTACTAGGTGAGGGCATCCTCCAGCCTTCCTGTTGAAGCTGAAGGAACAGAAGATCCCAGAGGTGAGGAGAGCCAGCAAGGAGGAACCTGACTGTATCCTACTGGCTAGGGCAGGAGTGGGCAATTATTTCAGCTGGAGGGCCACTTAATGAGTCTGGCAGGATATCGAGGGCCACAAGGGAAGCCCCACCCCTTGACAGGTGCCCCATCCCCTGGTCACCATCTTGGGACCAGAAGTCCCACCCCTAACCCCTGACCTTTGCCACTAGAAGTCCCTCTCCTCACCCTGAAAGTACTCCATTTGGGAAGTATTGCATTTGGGTTTCCCATCTCGGAACTGGAAAAAAACAAGTTCTATACTAGAAATCAAACATCCGCAATAACATTTTAGTTTTATTTTTAAAAATATTTTTGTTCTGATTTGTGTGCATTTGTGTCATGTATATATATACACATAGAGAGAGAGAGAGAGAGAGAGAGAGAGAAATAGAGGTGATTGCACAATAGCTCAAAATGAAATATTACTCTTAAATACTGTGGGGGTGTGGGTGGGTATATGTGGGGTGTAGGGGTATGTATGGATGTGGGCAGGTGGGTATTTAGGGGTTTGTGGGGTGTGGGGAGGACCAGGGTGGCTGGGGGGTTGTGGGTGCATGTTTGTGGTGGGGTGTGTGTGTGTAGAAGTGAGCAGGGCTCCCTCCCAGAAGTGTGGAGGTGTGTATGGACGTGGTGCATGTGGGGAGGGTGGTGTTTGTGGCTGGGTATGGTGGGACATGCACGGGAGCCCCCTGGGCCCGCCCCCAAGCTGGTCAGCACCTGCCCCTGCCCTGCAAAAGCCTGGAGCCCATGCACCCTACACTGCCTCCCTGCCACTACTAACCACGTGCAGTCCTAGCACACCCCATACCTGCTCCAGACTCACTGGGTAGAAACTGTTGCTCGGCTTGGGTGAAAAGCGGCCCCTCCCCCTCGCCACTCTCCAGTGCTCTGTGCTACAGCCGCCCAGAGCCTGCGCTGTACTGCTCTGCGGCTCCGCTGCACTGCCACCAGGCTGCCCTCCAGGGCAGCCCAGAGGCAGTGGTGATGGCAGCAGAGCCACAGGGCAGCCCACTGCACGCTCTGGGCAGCCCACTGCACGCTCTGGGCAGCTGTAGCATGGAGCACCGGGGAGTGGCAAGGGGGAAGAGCCGCTTTTCTCCTGCACTGAGTAACAGTTTCTACCTAGCCAGCGCTGCTGCTGCCACTGTTTAGCCTGAGCAGGTGTGAGGTTGGGGCTGTGCAGTGTGGGTCCCCACCAGTACAAGCAGTCCAGCTGTGGAGCTGCCCCAGACCCACTGCATGCCCAGGGGGTAGCAGGATGCACAACAGCCAGACAGTGCCTGGACCAGGTGGGACCAAGGGACCCACTGCAGGCCAGACAAAGCCCCTCCGTGGGCCAGATCTGGCCCATGGGTCATATTTTACCCACCCCTGGGTTAGGGAATGCAACAGGGAGCAGGGACATCTAGGTCCCAGTTCCTGCCTTGAGGACTATTTCCAATTTTTATGCATTCAAAATTCAGGGATTGGGAAGCACTCTCCCTCTGTGGCCCCTGCTAAGTTTCCATTCTTTGCAACAGCATGCCCAGCATTTCACAGGACAGTGTCACCCCCTCAGCCAGAGCAGCCCATAGGCAAGGCACTCTCCTGGGGTGTGAGAAATGCAGGTTGAGACCCTCACAGGCTGAAAAAGACCTAGAACCCTAAACTGCTACTTCTTGGGTGAGTCCCCTAACCATTTGGCTGTCCTTTAAGAGTCAACATCACTGTCATGTCACAAACCTTCAGAAGGCCTTTCAAAACTTTGGATCCTAAGCAAATGGAGGCATCTAATGTGCAGGGATCCTGGTTTTCTTTGATTAAAAAAAAACACTTTTTTTTTTTATTTAAAAAAACAAAAACCCAAATCTACATTTTTCACAGAAAACTCTAGATTGCGGGGGGGGGGGGGGGGGGGGGTTAAAAAAAAAAATTTTGGTTTTTTTTTTTTTTTTTAATTAAGACCCTGCTAATGTGCAACCCTATGACAGGCTCCTATGCTCCAAAACACCTCAGTGCTCAGCCTTTTGTGCTGTGCGACGCTTCAGTGGCCGATTCAATTCAAAGGCGATTCAGCCTGATTCAGTGGCCAAATCTCCAAATCAAATTGGAAGACCCATCAAAAGGTTCAAATCAAATTGGAAGCCCCCAAATTGATTCGGAAGGCTTGCAGCAAACAGAAACTGAGACTGTGATCTTTCTCCGAGTTCCCTTCCTTAACACACACAAGTGATACCAGTTTTGCTTTCAACAGTTTGAGGGGCACTTTCACAGAAACCCCTGCACCTATCTCCTTGAAACTTAGCAGGCTTCATGTCCTCAGAAGGGGCTATAGTCTATAGCCAAATCTCCGAATTGGCCAAACCGAATTGGGATAGTGATTCAGATCACCAAATCGAATCACTGCCCCTCCAAATCAGCTGAATTCAAACTGAATACTTGCTGCTGCGCGCAGGCCTACTGGCTAGCTCCGGGCAGCTCCCACCCAGCATCCAGACTTCAAAAGCACCTACCTCTCCCCATTGAATAGACTGGGAGCTCAGGTACCTTCCCCTGTTTCTTTGAATCACCCTCCTGGGCCAGGTATCCAATTCATAAGCCTTGTGGTGCCTAACCTGGGTATCCTTACAACCTTCTTTCCATCTGACACCAGTACACTTGGTGCATGCTCATTTGGTTTGGAACATTAATCATTTTTTTACTTTCTCTCTGAACTGGCCTTTTGCAGCTAAAAGACCCAGCCACACTCCACTTTAAACCAGCAGAAGACCAGCTGGAGCTCTTCCTTCATTCCAAAAGCGTCCAGATCAAGAAGCTCCTGGCCCAGATGCAGAAAGCATTGCAAGACTGGCACCGTGCTCAGGTGAAAAACATTCCAGGCCTTGCCTCATCATCTCCTGCGTGCATACGCTGTTGAAACAGAGACATTAAATCAATGATTTGCAGTGGACACAGAGCTTCCCAGAGACTGCTCACCAGTCAAGACAGCCAGTCAGGTCATTGTGAAAGTAAAACTCATTTTCAAGCTGTTAACAGTTTGCATCTGACTGCATGCCAAGGTAGAGTAATTATGGCACTGAAGAGCACAGCCTGTCAATTTTGAAACAAATAATCAATGGATCCTTGTTAGGTCAATGTGCACTAGCCCCATAAAGTGAGAAGGTGGTTCTTAGAAGTGGGAGAAAGGAGAGTAGAGCTGGCTTCAAATTTGGTGGCAGCCTAAGCTAAACAAACGCCTGCTATGAGCCACTTTGCATTTTGCAACCTTTTCCAGCAAATATACACAATTCCTGGAAGCTAAAATTCACTTACAGTGAAATGCCCAGAACTGAATGAAGCATATTCTAGGGTGATATGACTGGTAGTGAATGAAAATGGTCAACTGCCCCTCTGCTCTTCTTCATATAGTCAAATCTGCTAGCTTTTTTCTACTGCTATAACAGTTTGTATCTAATACAATCAAGCTTGGACCTCTCATGTTAGGGCCTAACAGATTTCTCTCTTCCACTGAATACCTGCCTGGCTTTCATATTTCTCCCACATGCACTTGCCTGCAATTTAACAAGTTCAGTCTCATTTTGTTATTTTTTGATGATATTTCTAACCTTTGTAAGTCCCTTTATTGGTTATTACCCTTTCTTTATAGTCCTTCAGCTAGTTTTCCACATACAGCAGTGCTCACAGCCCAGCCCATTTCAATTTGTTTTTCCCACGTACGATTTCAAGGTGCTATCAAATCACATCCCAACATTCAGATCTTACATGGGCTGCATTACCTGTGTACATTAGTTTTTAAGCCAGTTGAGAGGTGATCAAGTTCATGTAGCATGTCTTAATCATCACAAATTCTGATTCTTTATAGCAGGGTCGTCCAACTGGCAGCCCATGGGCTGCATATGGCCCACAAGGGATTAATTTGCAGCCTCAGGGTTGCCACTCCCTCCATCGCTCTCCAGCCTCCTCCTCCCTCCTCTGGCTTCCACCTCCTGCCCACACCCCAGGGGGGCAGCACAATGCCACAGGAGCTATCAGTCTGAGATGCTAGGGGTGGGACTGGGAAGTGGGGAAAAGTCAACAGCCAGAGAGCTGAGGGTAGGGCTGGGGTGCCCATGAAATGTGGTGGAGCTGGGGGAAGGCCAGGAGGGAAGGCACTAGTATGGCAGGGTGCAACAAGAGAAGCATTCAGTGTAGCCCATAGAGCATGAAGCCCCCGCCCACTCAGAAGTTGGATAGCCTTACTTTACAGCTTTGTTGTGGATGTTTCTCTAAAAGGCTGTGAGATTATACAACCTTAGAATAAAGTATACCTAATAAAAAGCTCTCTTTCAGAACCTGTGTCCTAAGGTGTCTTATGATATGGCCTCACTAAGCTGTCATTTGGTGAGTCCAGGATGACCAAAGTACCAACCACAGAGGCAGAAGCCAAGGAAGATGTGGTCATCCTTGAAGAGAGAAATCAGGACTACCATCATCTACACCCAATATCTTTTAGGCCCAAAAAAAGGCTCTTACCTCTTCAACAAGTCTGAAGTCTCTGGCTGACTTTCCCCAAGCCCCAAACACCATGCTTTTCCCTTCAAGAGATTTCTGCCATCTCTTCTCCGTCACTCCATCAGCACCACAACCTTCCTAAATGTTGCTTCTCCACTCTGAAGTGAACAGAGAGTGGCTTTCATAAGCAGCAGACTCCTCCTGGTGCATGCAAACTCTGCGAGGATTACTGATTAATTGATACCAGCTGCTTAGAATTTTTTCCCCTTCCCAATATGACAGGTCATACAGGTCACACTGCCACCTCCCCACATTGGTCCTGGCATTTGATTCTTCTTGGCTCTGACACAAGATGGGCCCCTCTGATTTTTGATGATGTGGAAGCAACAGGGATGGAAACATGGCATACACAGATGTTGGACCGAGGCTCAAACAATGGTTCTGTCCTCAGTAACTTTGGGAAAGTCACTTTACCAGTTAGTTCCTTTGTTTCCTTCTCCTACCACCACGGTGTCATCCATTTTGACTAAAAACCTCTTTCTCTGAGTTTGTACGATGCCTTGTACAGTGGAACACTGATGTTCTGTTCAGGCCTCTAGGCCTTGCTGCAATACAGATAAGTCAGTGTCCGTAAGTCTTTCCGAGTGTCACTTATTCCATGCAAAACCAAAATGAGTGAATACATCAAACAGGGATTGGAATCCTGCCCTTTCAGTGCAATCTAGAATGCCCAAGGGAA